ACACTACAGACCTTCACCAAACATAAACAGACACATAATCTAGTTTACAGCAGATGCAGCAGCATTGTTTTGTCTTGGCCTTCCAATGTGTATATGCCATATGCTGTATTTATTTGTTTACGCATATCTTTTACATTCAGTTGTATTTAAGTTTGATGCAGTGTTCTGTATCAATATCTTACTTAATTTCTTTCATTTCATCTTATTTAAGAAAGCGTTCCCTAAAATGTCATCAATACATTTTCCTTTATTGAGTCTCATGTTATTAGAGCTTCTTTGGCCCTGAAATTATTAATGCAAATACAGAAATGTGTAAAATTGGGATCATTTTATATTTTTACAAATTGTTAGTCAACTGGCCAAACACTATTAATCACATATCAGCTCTTTTTTTTAAGTGATATTAGATGCCATTGTCATCATATTCTTCATCCTCATTTATACATTTTTTTGAAATTGTATTGCTTTCTGGGGATATATATTTTTAAACCTTTGAGTATTACACTTTGATAATTATAATAGCTTTATATTACATTTTGACATATAAAAGACGTCCCATCTCTTTGTCATTTTCAATATTATACTAAATATATCTGCACATTTATAGTAATGAATACATTTTAGGATCTGTCTCTCTCCATTTAAAACTCTTGTGTGTTATTGATTGATAATGCTTTGATTTTATGATTGTTAAGGGGAGAATTCACATCTTTTCACTACTGAATATTCATTCCTATCTTCAGGAAAGGAATAAATAACTTTCTCGGGCTGGCCCCTGGCTTAGCGGTTAAGTGCGTGTGCTCTGCTACTGGCGGCCCGGGTTCAGATCCCGGGCGCGCACCGCCGCACCGCTTCTCCGGCCATGCTGAGGCCGCGTCCCACATACAGCAGCTAGAAGGATGTGCAACTATGACATACAACGATCTACTGGGGCTTTGGGGAAAAAACAAGGAGGAGGATTGGCAATAGGTGTTAGCTCAGAGCTGGTCTTCCTCAGCAAAAAGAGGAGGATTAGCATGGATGTTAGCTCAGGGCTAATCTTCCTCACGAAAAAAAAAAAAAAGAGAACTTTCTCTATTCTTCAGTAAATTTTTATAGACGTCCCCTAACCCGCCAAAAACAAACTTTTATTATATTAATACATTTTATAGTTTTGTGGCTATTGTAAATAAACCCTTATTTTTATCAAATATCTTCAGTGATTAATTTTTGTGAACAGAAAAAGCCATTAATTTGTGATATTGATCTTTTATCTGGTCACTTGGGTAGATTCTATGAAGAGTTTGCAATCTATTCTTTTGGATTTTTCAGGTAAAAAATTAGCTAAAATCTAAATAAAGACTTTTTTGTTTCTTTTCAAAGGTAACACTATCTCCTTTTATTTACTTGTCTGTTTTCATTTACTAAGACTGTACCATGAAATATTGAATAGTAATTGTGATAGCAGATATCCTATTTTGTCACTGACTTTAATGGAAATGCTTTTAATAGGTCACATTTAAATATGTTTGCTCCAAATTTCTGAAAAGATACCTTTCATTTGAGAACTTATTTTATCCATAAATATTAAGAATTTTATCATGAATTGCCATTGAATTTTCTGATTCTTTTCCTCATTGCTTGAAAAAAATCATGTTTTGCCTCCTTTAATCAGTTAGTATAGTCATACTATTGATAGATTTCTTAAGGTGAATAATTGTGTCATTTGTAAGACAAAGTCTACTGTGTCAAAGTGCAATATTCTTTAAAATTCACAGTTGCATCTTGCTTGCTAAAAGTTATTTATAATGTTTGTGTATGTCATCATAGTTAATTAGATGAATAACTCTCCATCTTTTTTTTTTTTCTGATTACAAAACCCGTGCTCATTTGTTTGAGAGATATATGTACATCCTGAAATTTTTATTCCAGTTTTATTGAGATGTAATTGACATACATCACTGTGTAAGTTGAAGGTGTACTTTCCATCTTTTTGTATGCTCTAGAATAGGATTGCTCAGATCTACTGACATTTTGGACTGGATAATTCTTTGTTGTCTTGTGCATTTTTGGACTTAACCATCCCTGGCATCCACCCACTAGATGCCAACGGCACTCCCTCCCCAACTGTGACAACCAAAACTGTCTCCATGCGTTGCCAAATGACCTTTGGGGGGAAAAATTCCATCTCTTCTGCTCTACTAAATTTTGTAAAGGATAGAAATACTCTCCTTTTTTTTTTTTTTCTTTAATTTGCTTGTTGGTGGAGTTTTTCCTGTCATTAACATTTCTTCTATGCTGGATTTGATTTCTTGGGCCAGTTTGATGATTGATGTTTTCCCATAAAATTATCCATTTTCTATCTGTTGCCAAATAAGGTGGTATACACACTATTCCATTACATTTAAGACTTTATTTCTCTATATTATTGTTTTCTTTTTTATTTCTCATGCAGCATTCATGCTTTTTCTAAAATATCATTCTGACCACTTTTGAAAAAAGTTCTGGTATTTTCTTTTTAAATAATCAACTTTGGTTTTATTGTTAACTCATTCATTTGTTCTTTATATCTTTGTTAATGGCTTCTTTTGACATTTTTTCAAATATTTCCTTAGCATCTTATATTGAAAACTTATAAAATGGATATTCTATATCCTTGTTTTCTAATAAATTTATATTATTTAGGCTGTACATTGCACATCAATGTCTTGCCGCACAGGTTCTTATGTGTGAGTTTCTCAATTTATTCTGTTTAAAAGATTATTTTTCTCATTTATATTTTTATGGCATAGAGAAGCTGCTTAATAAATGGATGTTGTTATTGCTTTTGAACCCTTGTTATTTTATATTTATAATCAATTACTGTTACTTGTAGGTTAATTTAATAGTTCAGTATATACAGTATGAAGATCTGAAAGATTATTTTGTGTTTAAATAATGAAGAGGTGGAAGAAGAAAGAGAGATATTAGAGGCTGAATAGAAAAGACTTCATAATTGATTGGGAGTTGTGATCATTCAAAAGATAAAAGAGTATAAGATAACTCCTAGAGTTCTAATTTAGATGATTGGTTAAGTTTTGTGAAAATTATGAGCTTTATACACAATATATAGGAGTAAGAACAATTATAGGGGAAAATGATCAATTTGCTTTTGAACATATTAAATTTGATTTACTCATTAGAAATCCATATGGCAATGTCCAAAAGGAATTTCTATCTTCAGGAAACTGGAAAGCAGAGCTGACTTTCAGATATTTATTTGAAATTTGTCATTAAATAGGTGAAAGAGGAAGCTGTAAAAATGGGCAAGATAATTTTTTTAATGACTTGAGAATAGGCAAGGGGCGATACCTGAAGTATACCATATTTAAGGTTCTTGGGGATAAAAAAGTCAGAGAAAAAAAATGCTGAGTGGTATGGAAAGGTAATAGAGACTAATGCCATACAATACATGGGGAGAGAAAATTTCCAGGAAGAAAGTATCATCAGCATAATATGTAAATTGTGGATAAATAAAATGTCACTAAATGAATCAACTGAATTTGGCTGTTCTATTTTGGTGCTGTTTTCCATAGTAGATGTATCCTTGACATCTGATTCTCTGGGTCCTTTTTATACAGAAACTATTAATGATGAGATAGATTCCTTTCCTGAGAAGCCTAAAGAGTTTCATGTTTGCACAAGTCACATGAAATTAACATTCTGAAATTTAAGACTCCAAAATTGCCACATTGACAATAATGTGTCTCTGAAAGCACATATCTGAAAAACGTTTGTCAGGGATGTTCGTCAGACTGGTTTAGAGATTCCTTCTATTCATTCCTCAGCCTTATTGAATGAAGATATTGGGGTCATATATTCAAGTTGTAACTCCAGCTCTTCTGCTGCCTAACTGCATAATTTGGGGCAAATTAATCACCTTAAACATGTTTCTCCATATGTATATTAGGAATAAAAATTTTTTGTACTTCATTGGATAGTTATGATTATTGGATGAGATTATGGATATAAAGATGATTGCATCTGGCACATGATATGTGTTCAAGAAATGCTGGCTGTTATGGTTCTTTGTGTTTTAGCTGTCGCCTGTGTGACTATTTATCAAAATGTAATGCTCTCTGCTCTGTGTTTAAATAATGGCAAGGTTTGCCTTTCTGCCTGCCTTTTTCCCTTCCTTCCTTCCTTCCTTCCTACTTTCCTTTCTTTCTTCCTTTGTCCCCCGCTTCCCTCCCTCCCTCTCCTCGCTCTCAATTTGTCTTTCTTTCTCTCTCTTTCTTTCTTTTCACCAGCTTTTTACATAGTATGTGGATTCTCTCAATAATTAGGCAGTTCTTTATAAAGATAATCTTGGGGGATTATTTAATTTTTGAGTCTCAGTTTCCTCACATGCAAAATGCATAGACTACTACCTACCTCCTAGAATTAGTGGTTAGATAAAATTATATAATGCATATAAATGTCAATAACACAGAGAACTCAACAAATGGGAGCTATATTTATTTTTCTTAGGGTGGTTCCTTGGACCACCTTGTCATCAAATATACAAAAATGTGCGTTTTGAGGATGTTTGGCATTCTTATGGATATATCCCAGGAAAATCTAGTGATATCCATATTTCAAATGTGACTTGATTTTTCATGGCTTTATTCCAGGGTAAAAAAATTATTTTAAAAAAGTAGTGGAAACTAGATTTCTCATCATATTGTGTAGGTATTCCACTGGGGACTTTATACTCAAAGATGATTTAATTGTAATGTTTCTTGCCATCAAAGAGAACTATAGATCTAAGAAAATCTGATGTGGAACTGATCAGGGAATCCTCTCTTCTCAACAAATGAGAAATACTGAGAAGCAGGGAAAGAAGCTTGCAGTTCTAGATAACTCAGAAAATACTGAAGTTCTTGAGATTCAGTGATGGTAATTCAGTGAAGCTCAGAGTGCCAGAAAGATTTATAAGTGATAAGCTACATATTCAGTATCTGTCATGTTTAATTTTTCAAATATACCTTCCTTCTCAGTCCCTCATTATGTTGGTCCTCAATAACACCAGTGCTCAGCCTCTGACCTTCCTCTTGATGGGTATCCCAGGCCTGAAAGCAGCCCAGGTCTGGATCTCCGTCCCTGTTTGTCTCCTGTATGTTATCGCCCTCTCTGGGAACAGCATGATCCTATTTGTGATCCTCCGTGAGCAGAGGCTCCATGAGCCCATGTATCATTTCCTCTGTATGCTTTCAGCCACAGACCTGAGCTTGTCCCTCTGCACACTTTCCACTACCCTTGGTGTCTTCTGGTTTGAAGCCCGAGAGATCACCTTAAACGCCTGCATTGCCCAGATGTTCTTTCTCCATGGATTTACTTTCATGGAGTCTGGAGTTCTGCTGGCCATGGCCTTTGATCGTTTTGTGGCTATCTATGACCCACTGAGATACACCACCATCCTCACCAATGCCAGGATTGCCCAGATTGGGGTGAGCATGTTGATAAGGAATGTTGCCATCATGTTACCAGTTGTGCTCTTTGTCAAGAAGCTGTCCTTCTGCAGTTCTACAGTCCTTTCACATTCTTATTGCTACCACGTTGATCTCATTCAACTTTCATGCACAGACAACAGAATCAACAGCATCCTTGGTTTGATCGCACTCTTCTCCACAGCAGGGTTTGACTGCCCTTGCATCTTGCTCTCCTATGTCCTGATCATCCGATCTGTCCTCAGCATTGCTTCCTCAGAGGGGCAGCAGAAAGCCTTCAACACCTGCGTATCTCACATCAGTGCTGTTGCCATCTTCTACATCCCTCTCATCAGCTTGTCTCTTGTCCATCGCTATGGCCATTCAGCACCTCCATTTGTCCACACCATCATGGCCAATGTCTTCCTGCTCATCCCTCCTGTGCTCAACCCTATCATCTACAGTGTGAAGACTAAGCAGATTCGAAAGGCTATTGTCAAGGTCTTAATTCAGAAGCGGCTCTGTATCTAGTCATTAGTTATCTCAGAGTAGAAATAAAGCCATTCACGAGTGAATTCTTTGGTAGAATGTGGTAATTGTCCTCAAACTGCCTAGGTATGCCTCCAACAGTCCAAACTATGCAACTTAAAGTTTGCATATTTGCTTAGTTAGTTTCCTTGTCAGTAAGTCCATATTAATACCATGAAATTATGATTTTGTTTATAAGATGAAATGAGATATTATACGTAAATAGCTATTTATATTTGAAAGTAGTATGAGACCTGGATAGAATTTTCATTCAGACTCTTTATACAACTCTAAAATTCCATATTTAATGTTGGAAATTTTGTTAATAAGTCAGTTGTTCTTTTCTGAATTATATGCAAAAGGCACTTCAATTATTTGCATTTTTTTTCCTTAAAACTCTCAATTCTCTGCGTACTTCCTACATAGCCACACTATAGAGTGAATCCTAAAATGCACATCAATGTAATTCAACATGGATCTTATGTAGGTGGAGTTATTTTGCCCTTAATTATGTGTAGGAGCATATCCAATGTAAATACAAAATGTCCTATCTAGTGCTCAGGAGCAGTTACTGCTTCTGTTGGTTGAATATTAAAAGTTAGTAATAACATTACTTACAACCTAGAAGAGAGGATCACACAGTTTTCCCAACGTTTTCCCCAAGATTTGCTTTAGTAAAAGGGAATTTATACTTTTGGCTCATGATTAGTCTTTATTTCTGCCATTATGACTCCATCTATGGGCCCACTGGATCAGCAGTGGTGGAATCAATGCTGGCTGATATTTACATATATGTTCTTTCTACCTAGTTGTTGAGGTCCTCCTCTAAGGTGAATACTCTTTGGTGGGGATTAGCATGAGATGCAAAGATTCTCATCCTTTGTATCCACTTCAATACATATTTCACGTACACCTTCTACAGACTTCCTTATCTCTCTTCTTCCAAGGTTGCTAGTTCTACCCTCTGACCAACTATCCAAGCCTTGCAGCAAAGTACAGAAGTCCATATATATCCATGTATCTCAGACAATCTCTCCTTCTTCACAAAGTTAACAACCAAGGGCACTGCCCATTATGAGAATTTTCCTTCATCACTCTTTTTTATGGCCACCCATGTGTGGGGCCATACAGTTGTGCCACTGTATTCTACTTTTTATTAGCACCAACTTGTCCACCAGCCCATCCATGAACAAAGCCTGAATATTTTCCTCCTCTTTCAGCAACTTATCAGGAACCTCCAGTGAGACCACAGATGTGAATTAATGGGGAGGCATCTATGTAACAGTGATAAGTGTCATGGGATTCTGGGACAACTATTCACATAATTTATTTGTGGTTTTTTGACCTTGTACTTTGTCCTTCCTACTACAATGGTTCAAACTTTACAGATTTAGCAACAATATGAAAATTTTTCTAGCTACAAGTGTAATATTACCAATTATATACATAGGCATGTGGGGAATAACCACAAGTAGAGCTGAAAATCATTGGGTTCACTATGGGATAAACTTTGTCCAAAATTCCATTAATCATCTTGCCTCAATAATCTCATACTTTAATCCAAAAAAAAAAGCATAATGGTATGTTTGTTTGCCTATTATCAGTAAGAGATTATATCCTATATCCAATAGTCCTCAAAGAACCTGGGTATTTTCTTTTCTCCAATGAACAAGTACGTTTGTAAATGGACAGGTCCATTTTGGGAAAGATCTGGATAATTTTTGTTGAATATTTACAGTGGCATTGCAGGTTATTTCATCAAGGGAACCAAGACTTATATTAAATTAATGGGCTCTGAATATGGGAAGTGATTTAACTCTTTAAATAGACTGAGGGACCAGAATTTCCCATTAGGGTGGTTAATGTCAGTCTGATTCTAAGAAGTTTTTTATTTTAAATGTATTTCAAGTAACACCCTCGTCAACACCTTAGCTTGTTTCCAGGAACATTGTCAATTGCAACGGATCACTCTGAGTCCTGTCACTCTGACTGCCATTCTAGCCTTGCTACTCTTTACAGTAATTACATTTACCTTACTTCCGATTATTAAGTACTTCCATGAGTCTCAGGATCCCTTTATCCTTATTGTTAGTAGGGAGTCCAGTTCCATAGAAGCAACTTTCTTTCCAAGTCCAGCCTACAAAGCATAGCAACTACTGAACTATTTCAAAGATATCAGCTACCATCTTACAAATGCACTCTTTATTGCCTCAGTGAAGGAGTGTCCTCTCTTTCCTTCCAGAAAAAAATAATCATGTAATAAATTATCTGGTTCTACATAATAAATTCATTCTAACATGTCCACTTCTTTGAGATTTCTATAGTCTATATTATGCCAAGCAAATCTAGCATCTCCTCCTAATTTACTATAGGTAATCATTATGTTCAAGCTTCAAGCAACCATCCCAGCAGTGCACTATCACAGTTTCCAGGTATCCCTGATATAATGGCAACCCCCAAATCATGGATGAGTGTCCTAATGTCAGTAAATTCTCCTCTATGTCAATTTATATTTATACCACTAGCCACTTCACCTGCTGTCTCGGATCTAACACTTCCAAGATCCGTTCATACAATTGTTCATTTGATTCTTGTTAGTACAATTAAGTTCTGCAATGACTTCAGTTGTTAAGCTATTTTCTCTCAAAATGTTAATAACATTTCCCTGCTTGTGCTTTACTGAGATCTGACTGCTTGTTGGCTTGAATACAATGAGAAATGGTGGGAAGATCCTGCATAGGAAAAGCATCATCTTGTAAGGCACTATCTCAGGTTTGGTTTTTGTAAGGTCTCCAGACAAGATTAAAAAAAAAAATTCCTCTGTAAAATGAGATGGGAGCCCCTTCAGTTGGCATAGGATATTTAAATGTTTCAAGATATTAGGCTCATTTACTCAAATGTCAACATTCTAGGAGTGATGATCATACCACTTCCCCATTTTTTTATTCGCAATATTTTTCAGTGTTCTGACTTTATAAAAGAAAATTTGTCAAAACTCAGCATTGAGTTGGCCTTGAAGTTCTGTTACTCTTTCAATTAAATCATTTGCTGGATCTTTAGAACTGTATGATCTTTGGCTGAAGGTAATAAATGTTTCCTTAAATGTTCCCATGCAAGCCCTCTGAGTTTCACAGCATGCTTTGAGTTGTCAATTGTCTGCCCTAAACTTATCATTTTCTATTTAAGGTTTCCAATGCAGATATCAGTTAGCTCATCCATAATCTTTATAGTTAATGTTTTTAGTTACAAATGGGAGACTAGATTCAAAATCCACAGTCACCGTTTAACCCAGCATCTCACCTTCCACCTGAATCTCCTACAACCAACCACAACTGAAATTCTTAGTAACTGTGATGCCACTGCATTTCAGGAATCCTGGTCAGCCCACTGGCTGCTGGCAATAGGGTCTCAGTTGTCAATTGACCATTGATATTGATAATGTGATTCCAGGGATCATGAGTGAGGGACAGCTAAAATCAAAGAGGGAAGGACGGTAAGATGATACAAAAATTTCTTATTGATTTGGACACTGTGTTAATTTGGATCCAAACAGGAGACAGAAACCACACAATGATTTAAAATGGAAAAGTTTAATATAAATAATTATATTAACAGGGAGGTATACTAGTGGGGAAATTGGTTATAAGAGTTAAAAGAGAATTATAAAGAATTTATGTACTCTACTATACCCACCACTTCTAGGGCAGAGATAGAACACCCAAGGAAGAGCCCTCTTCTCTTTCCTCTAAGCCAGTGAAGTTACTAAGCTGCCTTATTGGTGAGGCTTGCCAGAAATCTGCCCTTCAGGAGTGCCAAGGAAGGGCTTCCACAGAAAGGTGCCTACTCTCTGAACTCTAGGTGACAGAGAAGCATATGACTGCTGGCCACTGCAGGAACAAGAATATGGAGAGGCTGCCCTTTATTGAACTATAATACATTTCCATGCGAGGCTCAGTATGGGGTAGCTCTAGGCTGCCCTTTTGGGATGAAGGTTGGGTGGCCAGTTTGCTAGACAGCTAGCCCTCTGTTGCTCCAAAATATATACACATAACCAGGGCTAAAGAAAAGATTTGGGAGAAGCTACCTTAGCTGGAGAGCTAGTCTGTCCTCTCTGGGCTCCTGGTTATGCCACTGTTGTCCCAGTGGAGAGCTGGAGAACCAGCTCAGTGGCTGACTGCTGGAGGAAGATGTGCACTTCTGGAACCAAGCATTGAAGAAATCACACAGTGCCAAGCAATGGAGAAACAGCATGTACTGTGGGTGTCTGGCCAGCAAACCACATGGAAACCAGGAAGAGAAAACTCCTTCTCCTTCCACTATTCCTTCACCACCTTCTACTGACAAGTCTTAACATCGTGCTAGCTGGCAAAAGAGAAATATTTACAGCTCCCAATGTCATTATTATAGAGCAGGCAAAAAGGAATTGGGAGCTCAATAATGAGCCAGACGCCATTATGGGTGGCTGTTGCCCAATACTGCAGATCCATCTCTGAAGCCTTATTAAATATGTCTCATGATGGCCCATCCAGGAAAATAAAAATAAACATTTATTCATTGGATCCCACTTCCCATTGGTCAAAGTTTACCCTATGAGTTGTTAATTCCCTGTACTTCTGGGTTGCACATGTGCGAATATTATCAGATGAGTACCTGTGAATGTCCCATGTCTCCGTGTCGGCCCTGGGGCAAGAAGCAAGAGGTACACAATGCGGGCCCAAGTCAAGGTGTTTTCATGCTCTTCCTGTGTGAAGCCTGCCAATGATTGACGGGGCTGGTTGCCACAACAACAACTAGATAAGGAGGCCAAAAGATGTGAAGTGGTCTACGGTAAGACGCTGATTCATGAGGTAAACTCAAACCCTGGTGTTCTAACCTGAAGAGCTTGTGGGTTGACAGAAGATTCGGTTGTCTCAGAGTGAGGTTTGAGTCATCTCTTCTATTGTACTAAAAAACCATCTTTGTTCTTTTTGTTGTTGTTTTTAGTGCAAGTCCTATTTCTCCAT